AAGGTGGGTGGGTTTTCAATTTTTACTTAAAAAAAAAAATAATATATATATATATATGTAATTAATCAATAGAATTAAAAGTGAGTGTTTTGTGCTCAAAAGTCTACTTTGCTGCTGCTCTGTACTGATTAACTCAGCAAATTAGTTTGAAGGTGAAAAAATTTCGTTAAAAAACATAACGGATATCTACGACTAGAATAAGTATATAATACAGAAAGAAAGTGTAGTTGACAAAAAATAAAATCGAAGAGAAAAAAAAGTGTGAAGAGAGAAGAGTAGGCGGGGAAATGTTTTTGACGACTTTTACTTGATTTTCATTAAAGGAAAATGTTAAAGAGATAGAAAAGAAAAGTATTCAATTGTAATACATCGTAAGTGAAAGAGAGAGAGAGAGAGAGAGAGAGAGAGGCGAAATCCCATTAAGGAAACATATCGTATTAAGCAAAACTTAGATGGTAGAGGAAGGATATCCAATATATTTAATCTCTTAGCTGAATGCTTCCGATTTCCATCGGAAGAAAGTCAGAATTTTGGAAGATTTTTCGAGTAAAAAAAAAAAGATTAAATTTGTTGCGCTATTCAGTGAGATTTGCATAAATAGTCAGAGCCGAAAGGAAATATTTCTTCAATTCTATGTACGAACGTGCACAGCTATAATTTATAAACTGCTTTTTTGTTTTGTTTTTTTTGTTCTTATAACAGGGACTGGAAAGGGGGACAGACAGAAAGAGGGAAAAATAGAAGAAAATATGTTAATTTGTTAGGTTGGTTGGATTGATTGTTATTAAAAGATGTTGCTTAAAAAAAATAATTATTACCCATGACTCAGGTGGATAACGAGGAAATGGAGCTATTTCTTTGGTTGCTACATTACTAGGCAATTCAAGTCTTCCACCTAATTTTCGTAGCTTTCTTCTTCTCGCCACCCGAGATTTCGATCTTAGCATCAATGCAGCTTGCATCGTGTTTTAGTTGGCTTTGATTGATTCTGTTCACTAAGGGCTTTAAAATAATTGATGTTTAGTTTAGTAGCACGATTTAGTTTAATGAGCCTTTCGTTATGATGATTTCACAAATACGAAGGCTTGTCCAAAACCTTTACCACTGCTACGTATGATTCGCCTTCTTCGTGTTACTTTGCGTTTTCGTTTCGTGAATTCAATGAGGAACATATATATGCTCTTTGAAGCCTAGTATGAAACTATGCGCGCATTCGATTTGTATCGTTAAATGAAATTAATAATATATATACATATATATTTTAAAAAAATATTCTAATCTTACAGGATACTTATGGCAGGGTTGTAGCGCCCAAAAACTATTATTCAATCATGCACACAGTATTGCTCCTCACGTTGCTGCCGCTATATATCGTTTATATGTTGTACTATCGTTGCTACGCTCTCTCGAAATCTTTCCACCGATGATGCTTCTGTCTATATTGACCCTTTCGGCGTCGTCTACCGCGTCGTCGCAACCACCAATTCAAACGTAATTTTGCGCACGTGCACAATAAGCGACACATAAACCCGGACTTTCGCAAATTTTTATCTCAAGAAATAAATATCAATTATAGGCAACTGAATACGGTTTCTAATTAATTATATATATATATATGTGTAACGTGTTTACAATTTTATATAATTTACTAGTTCAGTATTAAAATTAAAAGGATTTTTTTTTTTATAATTTCGATTTTATTAATAGTTTGTTTCGCTATCACGTCTTTATCAACATGAAGCCATTTTTTTTCCGATTTTTCGATTTTTTATTTTCGTTTTTATTTTTATTCGTATTTTTATTTTTCAAGTTTGCGAGAAACTTTTCACAAACACTCGACGAACATACATTGCATACACAAAGACAGTCGCTTTTTATGTCGGCGCAACAAAATGTTATTGCCTTCGTTTTAATGACATTTGCACACAGCTTTCGATTATAGACAGATAGAGATTCCTTCTGTTTCACAAAATAATTTCACTCGCCAAAATTGTTTTTTTCACGACATTTTTTTTCAAAGTCTTCAAAATTATTTTGATTAGCTGACCCCTATTCATTTATTTATATTAATATTGATAATTTTAATTATCTAAACTCTAATGAACACATCCACAAGTTATTATCGCATCGCGCTGTGAACGTTAACGACGCTAAGTACACTTTTTTTTTTGAAATAATATTAAATAATAGAAATTGTCTGCCATGAGGTAAGTATTGAAGTAAATAAGTATTCAATGGCCAACGCTAAACAGTTTTTGAACATTCAATACACATTATATTTATCTATTCAAAGGCTAACGCTATTTAGTAATAGATTAATCAATCTGAACAAGTAAATTGGATAAGATAGGTCCTGAACTTCGGCCTTCACTTGTGCTTTATTAAAATTTCCATTCATTTTACTAATAATATATACAATGGCATTATTTTTATTTTTATTTATTTATTTACTACTATCATTCTTATTATTATTATTATTATTGTTATTATTTTTTTTGCTTTCTACACATTTCAATGTATTCGCAATATTTTTGTCGTGAGGGAAAAAATGAAAAATAAATGAATTTTTTGTTGTTAGCACAAAAAGTATTGATAGAATTTTTAAGGGAAAGTCGTGAAGGTATGCAAACAATTGATCAGATGATGTGTAAGAAAATTGAGACGAAGATTCTTTTTTCTCGCCCCGTATTTTTTCATTTTGTCATTCGTCATTTAAGACTTTATATATGTATATATTTTCATCAACTCCTTTCTCTTCTAAGTCAATTGCGTGTTAACTCTTTGGACAATTTTTTTAAAAAAATTTATTTAAATAGCCCTGATTGCTTGTAGTAGCAAAAGAAAAGAAAATAGAAATGGGTAAAAGGCCACACGTTTTGTCGGGAAGAGGATTTCAGTTACTTTTAAAGAAGCCAAGCCGATTGGTGTCGCTTCAGGTAGGAAACGTTGCCTAGAAATACCTACCAACGGATGGCGGTCATAACGTGACTTACGCCGTTACCCCAGCGGCCCATTAAAACGAAAAAATTATTTTAAAAAAACAAGTAAGAAAATTAAATTCGATCAGGACCGAACCTTTTTTACCCATCACCGTTTAGCCCCAAAAAAAGACAAAAGAAGTAAAAAAAACAATATTCTGATGCTCTATAAAAGGACTGGACGCAGTTGCTTTCTTCTATTTTCAAAATAAAGGTTTTTGTCGCACGGGCATGTGGGTGTTCTAGGTGATACCTTGATTTTCGCTAAGGGGGGAATGTTGACCACAAATGCTACAAAGTTACGCAAACAGGCAGATAGACAGACGAACAGGCTGGCATGCTCAAGTGCATTGAAGATTTGAAACTGGCCAAGAATTTATACACTTTATAGGAGTTTTGAAGCTTGTTTCTGCGTATTAAATTTTGATACCCTATAATATTGGGTAGGCGTAATCAATGTTTTCCATTTTTGTGCACAAATGTTACAACATCGCCCACAGAACATGCTTTCAAATTTTTTACGTTTATTTGGTATAGTTTATGAGTAATGGGCAAAAAACCAATTTTTCTTTTCCTTTGAAAATAGTTATTCTGTTTGCGTTGTATTGTGGGCGTGCCCTTCAAACGATTTGGCTCATTTTTAATACCAACCTGTCTGCACTATTTTTACCAAATTGGAAGTCGGCAGCTTAATTTCTGCGGGCAAGAGACTGTTGATAACAGACGGATAGACGGACATTTGATGCTAATCAAGAATATGTATTCTTTGTGGGGTCTCTGATGCTTCCTTCTGGGCGTTGCAAAGGTTTTGACAAAATGAATTTACCCCCTATCCTTCGGTGATAGGTGTAATTAACGACGAAAAAGTTAAACACTTAGGGTATATACGCAAAACTTTTTGAAGTAAATTTTTGAACCAAAAAGCAAATTCAATATAACAGCTGAAGCTCCCTGGTGTAATAAAGTGCCTACACACAGTCATAAAGTGATTTTTCTTCGACAAATACAAAAAGAAAGTCAAACTTTAATCGTATCGTTACATATGTTGTGCAGACAGAATATAATATAAAACAACGTAAGACTTCAGCGCGTGCGAGAATCAATATTGTTAAAAGGGAAAAAAATTCAATTGTGATTATTTTTAAACTACCAATGATCCTAAATTTATTTACAGCGAAAATTTGCATATTTACGTGAAAGACATCGAATGTTGCATTACATCTCGCCCTATGGCTACTTTTATTCCGAATTAAGTCATGCAAATATTATAAATAAAAGAAGATTCTGTGTACACACGCGTTACAAATAATGTTTACGAGATATATATATATTGTACATATATATGAGATTTTTTACATAATGAGACGAAAAGTAATAGAAAAGAATTACTTTTTACTTTGGATATGCTTTGCTTACTTCTTATAGACAAGCGATCGATTCATATACATTCATACGTTATTTAAAAATCCATCAATTTCGAAAATTTTTCAATGAACGCAAAAATGAATTCTGAGTAAATGAGGAGAAAACATGCAACAAAATGTTACTAAATAACGAACATGCGACATTGAAAAACAAAATTCATAAAAAAGATGAAAATTATTTACATATGTATGTATGTACATATGTATGTGTCGTATTAGAGCAGTTAGGTGTATATAAAATGCTTTTTAAAATACATTATCTTCTCTACATATATGTATATTTATATATATATACACATGTGTATTAAAGTAAATGTAAAAATCGTGAAGAGGGGAAGTATCTCTTGAACACTTGTTAACAGTGTCACCGGACCTCATATTACGCTTCGTATATAAAAATGATTGATTATTAGAATAACCGTTAAAATAACATAATATATTCTTCAGGAGACACTTCCCCGCTTTGAAAAAAGAGTAAAAAGCGAGACACAGAATTGTTGATTTGAAGAGAAACAATTGATAATAAAGAGAACGATAGGAAGACAGTTCTAGACTTTCGTCGAACTCTGCTTTTTGGGGGTTGTTTGCTATTAATTACCTCAATGTGTTCACAGACGCAAATACCTTCTTCGCAATATGCGCACATCTGTACTTTACGTCCAGCACTACTGGGAAAACTTTTAAATACCATATGAGGTTCTTCAGATGGTAATGGTTCGTACTGTTGATGCTGTTGATTAAATTGCAATTCTTTCAATTGACGCCTTACACCCCCGCCCGATTCAATGTCAAAGGCGTCGTAACGTTTCATACGATATACGCTACATTTGCGCTCTAAAGCACCGATAGGGGGATGATGATGACGATGATGATGATGATGATGATGCTCCTCATCATCGCATGAATCGCCTCCCGCTGTTAATGGTTGCTTTTCAGCAGCTGCATCAGAAATTTCGTCGCGTATTTTCGGTGGTGTTGCCTCTATTTGTAAAACCAGTGGTAAAGTCGCTGTTGCCGATTTCGGCAAATGAGAGTGTTGGAAACTAGCGCCACTACTACTACCCGAATAACGGTGTACTAATTTCGGTGAAACCCGGCCATGGTGGTGATGAACTGTTGTTGATGGTCCAGTGTAATGGGCTAAATGTTGATGATGCTGTGAACCGTGCGAATGACTGTGTGAATGCGGAGTTTGTCCATGGGCGTGCGAATGCATACGCATGTGTAATACAGATTGGGTATCACCCTCTTCGATTGGCAGTAAAAGCTTAGATTGCGCCGTGTAGCTAGCGCTAAGCTTACGTACCTGCGCCTGTGGAGTACGTAGGTAATTGGTCGGTAGCTGATGAAATTGACGCGACTGACGCGTAGGTGTGGAAGCACCATGTTCCGTGACCGATAAACCCGGTCCCTTCGGTGGATGTAGTTTCGCCTGGAGTTGTTGAGTCTTCTTTTGTTGTCGTTGCCGTTGACGAGCCTGGCGTGACGCCAACGAAGCACCCCCTGCCGCTGCATACATCTTTCGTCGTTATACGTCGAAAAAAACAAAACAAAAATTGTGCAAAAGCACTGCCAGCGAAGGGGGAGAACTTCTAAGCTAACGATTGTTGTTCAGTTTTCGTACGACTACGCTTACTCTTACTCTTACTTCTTACATATTTTTTCTAATATTGTTATAATCTATTTATGACTAAATCGTTAAAAAATTTAAAGAAAAAAAAAAAAAAAACAAAAAAAAAAATTTATTTTTCGACAAAATTTAGCAGAGTAACAGTATAAAAGTATTTAAAGAGATATAGTAAGAGTGCATTTGTCGTAGATGATGCTGGTGTTTCCCACAGAACTTTTAACGATGCGTAAATGAAGTTTTTTTTTTTTTTTTAAATTTTATAATTACATTAACTTTATTACCTCTACTACGTTATAAATTAACAAATATACAGATATATGCGTGTGTGCTTGACCATTGTCTACAGTTGTAGTATTAATCTAAATAAATCTATAAAAATTTGTTTGTATTGAGGTTGAAGTTTTAATACAAAATAAAAAAAAGTCATTCTATTGGTAGGAAAGTAATGTAAATTTTGAAAAGCTAACTAAAACTACGTCTGTAAACATATATTTACAAAGGGATTTAGTTTAGGTAGGTTTAAGAAAAGAACAAAAAATACTTTGACACCTTCTCCCAATTGATCCCTAAAAATATATATATAAATATATAAATTTTAGAGCAGAAATTAATTCTAAGAACGCAGAGGCATTTTTTATGTTATGAACATTCATATATAGTTGTTTGCAAGATTAATTTAACGGTTAATTATATTGATGCGATTCATATTTGCTATTTATTAATTTAATCCGTTTATGCATGTTGGCTTGGATTCGTTCAGCGTATACACACTTAATGTCCGCACGTGTACTTACACTCGCACACATATATATACATACATCGCAAAATAAATGAATGACAACAAATAGTACTTCAAACCTTAATAGTCGTAAAAAATAAGCTCAAAAATAGTTTCAATTGACTACAATCTAAGCTGAAATAGAAAAAATTTAAGAGATTTTGTAAGCATTATAACAATAATACGTACATATTGCAAAGTTTTGCTAAATTTTCTGCTGTCAACACCAATTCTTTATATCTAGAGCAAGTTGCTGCCAACTAGTTACATTATCATTTCAAATTAAACAACATAAATTGCGAATTCGAGTTTGCCATGTCCGTCTGTCTGACTGATATTGGCCAAGCAATTCATACACTTTGCACATGAATTACAATTTTAAAATAAAAACAAATAAAAAAATTACATTTACCATGGAGTGAATCTTTGACACCCACTACTATGCCTATACATACATATATATACATAATATTTCATTCGAGTTGATTTAATCCTGTCTTCTTGTCTACCATTTGGCAAAGCATGAGCATGAAAATGTTGCCACAACAGAAAACGGAGTATTGTAGAATTTACTTTTCCATATCGGATATTGTTCTTAAACTCTATACAAACTTTGTGCAAAGTCCTTATAAATATTAGTTTGGGGAAAAAGAAATCCATTATTTTTTCGGTAGATGGCTGCACTGATAGATTTCTCGTAAAGTATCGATCAAACAATTTCATACTTATGCTCGTTGGAAAGGTGACATTTCGCAGTAAAAAAAATTCTTTTGCTGTTTTTTGTTTGGTGCATTCGGTTGTGAGTTACAGCGTGTTAAAAATGGAAGTGAACAAAGAGAAAATTCGGTACATTTTACAGTTTTTCTTTGACAAAGGCGAAAATGCAAGCCAGGCGGCTAAAATTGTGAATGATGTTTATGGTTCCGATACTGTAACAGCCAATTATGTGCAATTATGGTTTCGTAGATTCCGTTCAGGAATTTTTGATGTTAAAGATGCACCTCGCACAGGTAGGCCGGTCGTCGAAAATGTCGATAAAATCGGAGAAATGATCGAAGTTGACCGGCATGTTAGCAGTCGTAACGTCGCCCAGGAGCTAAAAATCGACCATAAAACAGTTTTAAACCATTTACACAAAGCTGGATTCAAAAAGAAGCTCGATGTTTGGGTGCCACACCAATTAACAGAAAAAAACATGATGGAACGAATTTCCATCTGCGAAGCCTTGGCCAAACGGAATGAGATAGACCCATTTCTTAAACGGATGGTGACTGGAGATGAGAAATGGAGCACATACGATAACCCTGTGCGAAAACGATCGTGGTCAAAGAGCGGTGAAGCACCTCAAACGGCCAGGAAGGTTTTGCTATGCATTTGGTGGGACTGGAAGGGGATTATTTATTATGAGTTGCTTCCATATGGCCAAACATATAAAAATAATGGATTTCTTTTTCCCCAAACTAATATATAGCCTTAAACTCTCTGCAAATTTCTCTCTGTTTCGTCTAAAATGTGACACAGAAGTATTTTCCTTAAGTCAGTTGAAAAATAAATGTTTACCCAACTGACACGCCCACATTCAATAAAAATTTTACAGTTCTAATGTACCGATGGGCATCGAAAATTCTCTCCAAAGCGAATACAATTTTCTTACTTGTTTTTATTGCCATAGATTATCGTCAGTTTATAAAATTTTCTCTATGCAGGATTCGAGGATCAATTTATATAATTTCAATTTACAACGTGAAAGACGTTTGAAAATTACATATGTAAGAATGTAATATACAACTCTTCTGCAAACACGCAACACAACATTGTACAACTACTTAGAATGATGGGCTCACAAAAGAAAATTTAAATTTTTCTCCTTAAACTTAATTGTGTGTATGTGTGTGCAAAATAAAGAAAAATGTAAATGAACAAGACCATGACACTTAAAGTGCTTAAAGGGAGAAAGAAGAAAAATTTCAGCCTACGCGAAATCAAGCCAAAGAAAAAAAAGAAAAGAAGAAGAAAACTCGAATAGACGTAAAAATGAACCACTTAGAACCTAGCAAGTGGTAGCCATCTACCAAGAGCTTTACGAGCATAATACATGAACGAAAACGTGCTTTTGTAAATGTATGAATAAAAGTGCGAGCAAGTACCTTAAAGGTTAAATAATTATTGAGGTAAATAGTAGAAAAAATGAAATTAATATAAAAGGATTAACGCGTCTGTACAAAATTAGATGCATACAAATAAATGGTTACTTGGACAAAAGAGCACCAGAACCATTCGAGTCAAGGATTACGAAATACGAAATTCTTTTATCATAATTTCTATATCCAAAGATATCGCAAGATATTTACGCATTTCCTTCTTTAAATTATTAAACAAACTTGCTGCCTTTATATGCTTAAAAACTGAAGAAAATGTATTAATTAAAACTTGATCAATATTTCTTAATTACTACAAAACAAATTGAAAAATTAAATAAACAAAATACTTATTCCATAAAAAATTTTTTCGACTGATCCGCTAAGAATACGTGTGTAAGGAAACAAGTAAGAGGACTGTAATCGCTTTGGCAGAATTTTATACATCCGCCATCTCGTGCGCGTGTTATTTCAGTCAATTCACACTATGCTTACACTGAACTTGTAAGTATTTGCAGCAAGTATCCACAATATATATAGCATAAACATTTAAGCTAACTATAGATAGGCATCTGACATACAGAAGGACTTTTAGTTTTTGATTATTTTAGCTGTCGACACTGTTTTTCAACTTTATGAATGAAATTGACACAACCATGTGCATGACTAATATCAACTTTCCGGCTCAATTTTTGCAACGTCGACACAAACAATAAAAAAGGTAACATGCGGCCATATCTGATTAAGGAGCTACTCGTCTTGGTCTTCTTAAAGCACTTTTGACTCCCACTTAAAAGAAAGACGGACAGAAGACATATATATATTGTTTAGAGGAACTATGACACATATCCTTGCAGGTTAAAAGAGAACCACATTGGCTGCGTACTAAACTAAACGATGTACACACATTCGCATTACTTGCATATAATTGCCGTATGCCGTTGCCTTTATAGGAAGTTCCTCATAGAAGGCTACAAAATTTTCTTTCAAATGTCCATAAAATGAATAATTGCTGAGCCGCTCATTACAGATAAATTAGCTTAGAGGGAGCAAATAAATTAATCCGCGGTTGAGTGTCACAAGTAAATGCATTGAATACATTATTCGGCCGTCTTCACAGAAAAAATCGAAATGCATATTAATTTTATAACCCCGTTGCGAACAAATCACAAAAAGTTATGTGGCGCCAACTAGGTAGATTTTCCTGCTACGCTAATTTAAGGAGGTCGCATACATTTTCACCAATAATCTACGTTCTGCACCAAAATATTATTTGAGAAGTGTCCAATTAACGTAAGGCTGCTTTGTATATTTGTAGTATATTTTCACTTCATTAGCTTTAAGATAACTTGCCTGGCAACACTAAAGAGAAACTAAGTGATATTTAATGTTGTCAACTGCTTTTACATACGCTTTTATATTTGATTTGGGAATATCGACGTTAAGTACATTGAATTTACTAAACTTAAGGAAAACGCTCATCACTTTGGTGCCATATTTTCAAGATGAAGGTAACATAGTATTCGTTTTTAAGTCTTGTCAATCTAGTATTCGTTTACTCCATTTAACAATTTCGCAACAGTTTTAAATTTTATATTTGAAGATTAGTCCAGCTAGCTTTCCTTCTTATTGCATTTATTATTCAGTTCAGAAATTTGTTCACTTTTACTCAAATCAATTTCCCCTTTCAAAATAATATAAAAGCTTTACCTTTCAGTGAACCCAAAAAAAAAAAAAAAAGAAGAAATTTTTCGAATTTTAGTCTTGAAAAAGGCGGCGTGCGAAAACTTCAAACACGTGCTATGGTTAATGTGTTACAAAAATTATTTAATTACCAATAATCTTGAATATGCCCATATATAAAATTTATTTAAATTTATCTCGAAGCTTGAAAATCTTCTTTACTTCGAAGATACACAGAGATAGAAATTTTAATACCGCAGAGGAGACGTGTGGTGTGCCTAAGTGTGACAATGTTGCATTTTTCGCCGCAATATATTAGCCATAATATTTCCTAATAATGATATCCATAAAAGCCAAATAGCATGTAGCACTGAAGGAAGTCCCACTTTTTCTGCGGCCGAGTTAAATGAAACATTATTGGACCAATTTCATGGACAATGTGTCTTTGAAATGTAACATTGTTGTGAAGAGCCGCCGCCTAAGTAGCTCGAAAATTATCACATACAACCACCTAAGATAAATATTAAAAACCTTTTCGAAAAAAAACCGAAACTCACCCTAAAAGCAATAGTGCAGTGAAAAGCTTACGCACGTTTATGTTTACATACATGTGATCATACATATACAGTTTTATGAAAGAGAACTTTGGCGGGTAAGAAATCTTCTTGTGAATGTGCATTAGTAACATAAACAATGTGGAGGTTTTATATAAAGAATAATCAAGAGATTTTTCGTTGCTGCTGCATCAATGTACTTATCTTAAAGATATTAGATTGCGTTTGCAAATAAAATATGTTTTATTTGATTTGTGTGTGTTATCCTGG